ACATTATTTTTAAATAAACCGCCATAAAATATATGGATATACAAAATAATTCCTATGGTCACACGCATCCCTCACGAACAAAAACGAAAAGAACAAGGCAAAATGTACAGGATCAACAGACGAGTTAATGCAGCAACGCTTACCAAAGAAAACAGGTTTGCGCAAAAGTAAATTAAACAGCAATAACTACTCCTTGTGCAAAAATGCTTTGATTTTTATCGATGAACTCTATCAGAAGGCAGTATAAGTATGCAAGTGGATCAAGCACTCAGGGCTTCAGTATTCTGACATCTACTGGAAAGACAGCCGACAAATTATTCTGTTTGGTGGATGAATTATCTTTTCTCTATTTGCAACGTGAGTGAGCGCATAAAACAGTTATTTCAGAAGGCAGCGACTTTTGAACCCTCATCCAAGAATTCACCGTCGGACAGTGAAAGCGCCAGGAGAGAGGAGTTTTCAAAGTTGAATTCATTCTACTTGCTCTTGCTTTATATGAAAAATGACAGTGTAACCTTCGTTTGCGCGCCCCATTTAAACGCGTGCGTTGGCTTTCATTGTCCTGTTATGAACGCGTTTCGACAAGGAAACCCATTTGTTCTGAAATTATGCTGCTCTAATTTTCGCTTCGACGAATCCACAATAATAAACTAGTATTTTATCGGTTGGTAAAATTAATCGTGGGGTGCAACAGCTTTGTTTCAAAGCTTGGCATTTCCTCATCAAGAAACGGTTACTCAAATTTCATTTTGATTCGACAGCGAAAATATGAATGTGAATTCACAACCCTGTTTTTTTTCAACTCCATTGACACTTGGCTCTCATTTATTCGTACTGCATACCGCACAGCGCAAGAATTTCATCCAGCCTCCTTCTACTGGATTTTCTCACTTTCCTCACCTTTCGAAGAAACATAATCACCGTTTTGAGGTATACAACGAGCGGGTCACTAAAAGTATGACACAAAATTTTAATTCTTTGGACTTTGTTTAAAAGGAACACATAACAGAATATGAAAAACAAATACCGTGATAAAGTTTTCATAGGCCCTAGAACTTGATGCACTTGATTGCGTGGAGCAGGTATACTGTTTCAGAGCATCAAAACACCTTTTAAGCAAAGGTTCTATAAGCTTCCGAAACATCTTTGCCGACACTCAGCCATTCTCGTTTGAGAGTAGCCTTATCCCAGTCAAGCAATCTCTGCTGACAATGCAGCCTTCGAGGCAGAATTTTCCCAGAGTTCTCCTTGTATTAAAATGTAAAGTGCATGCACCGCATTACCTTCATAAAGCGGAACAGAACACCGTCAGCAAGCTTACTGTCGAAATACTGCCCCTCCTTTCTCAGATCATACCAATAAGGTTGTCCTTCCCAGTTGAATTGGTATCAGCGCCACACTCATGGGCACTCACACAGCCAATCACTCGTTCCGAGTAGAGTGGAGTAGGTACCCAAACTTCTGAGTCATTGTCAGTAGTTTTTTAACCAAGAAGCGATCCAAGTTCAAACGCGTATGGGCTTTTCCGCATGCCAGCCTTCTGACACATTGTGGTCCAGGGAAAAGCTGACCCCCGCTTCCACGTTAGAGAACTAAACGATCACTATAGACTATACTAAGCTGCATCAGTTCAGGTGAAATCCAGTGGTGATGGTACTTTGCTAAAGGTTCATTTACATTTACTATTTTATCTGTTTTAATTAAAGTTCAGAATTTTAAACGCTGCACTCAGGCTCCCTACTGCACTATTCTAATATTACACGACCGTGATTATCGTGGAAATAATGTGTAAACGTAGAGAGAAGATGAGGATTTGTGTTCCAATTTTCAAAACCGTTTTCAACATTGAAAAAAGTTTGAGAAAAGTACCGATTTACAAGTGTTTACCCTAGATGTACACTAAAAATACGATAACATATCCACGATCAAAAGTGTAATATCGGATAGCCCAGGGGTTGATTTTCCTTGGCGTGCAAGAGTACAGGAATCCGAACGGGTTGTTTTAAATTCTGAATCATCGATGCACAAGGCAAGTATTTACCGATCGATAAATACAGAACTGATCAACACTCATGAAATCAATACAAAAATCGCTCTTGTATGGTATGGTGAAAGTGCGCCACTTTCAGTGGCTCGATATAATTTGAGATTTTACAAATCAAGGCTCAAAAGTAGTGCGAACATTGTTCAACATGGAGATCCCCTCAAATACAAGTGCATTTTTATGACGCGTTTCTGTAGACCAGGCCAGCAGTAAGTTAGTTATTCCCAAAACCATCTCTATTTGGCCTAAAAACGCCGACCGGAAGTTAGCTGGCTTTTCGTGGATTGTAAACATCTCACCCAGGCAATCAGAATAGTTGTTACTTCCCACAAAGTGCGTTCTCATTGACTTATTTTCAATGAAAATTTAGTATATCTTAGCTCGATATTAGACAAGTCAGTTTTCATGTGTTACTTTGACAAATATATGCTGACAGATCCGTATTGCTTGGAAATATAAATGTTCCAGATTTATAATTATAAATTTGCCGTTTGGCAATAGAGGATCTCATTGGAGAAAAGCTGAATCAAAAGAAACTATATGAGGTCATGAGGGCGCAGCACACGATCATGCAAACATTTTTCACAAATCCAAAAATTTATGAAAACTACGTTCCGTTCAATCGTAGGAATGTAGGCAGTACATTTAAGGTTAATCGATTGCGTACACTTTCAAGGGGAACGAACAGCAAACTATTAATAATATTACCAAATGTTGAATGAATAAATTGGCCATATGCTCAAGTGCTACAGTAAGTATGTTTCAAAAATTGAATTTATCTGGATTTACATGGCAGACATCTGTGATAAATCTGGCTGAAGTTCAGTCCGACATGCTGTCAACTTTGAGCTGTTTTTTAGATTTTTTGAACACATCCTGTCACTGATAAACATTAAAAACAGAATTTAAAAAATACAATATGTGAGAACTTGTTGGGCAAATCATGTGGTGATTGAACCGTATAAACAAAACTCAGTTTTTTATTCTGCGAATGCACTCAGAAAGACAAAATAATAATAATCTCTAGAAAGACAGAAAGATGAACAGATAAACTGGTAGACAGAGTAACAATAACTCCCGGCCTAATCATGCCAACCAATATCACGCATTCAAAGCCATTAATCAACGCCTAACAGCAGAACATTGTGCACCGCTCCATACCCTTATTATTATTATTATTTTTATCATCATCATCATCATCATGATCAACATCCGGTTACTTTCTGATGTACATTTTTAGTCTCTCACTCTCTCACGCGCGAGAGCCCTTTGGTCCCCAAACATGAATACACATGCCCACGGACGAGCAGTAGTCACACGACGCACTCTGATTTATGACTTCCAGTTTCTGTATCGTGCTACCAACCCAAACGCGTATAATTTCCTTTACATGGATAGAAGTGGGAACCCTGGTGATGACCATCCCCTCCCACTTCCCCCGAAAATATCGTGTTCTCATACAGGTATCCACTGGACTCGTTTCCCTTGGATTTAATTATTAATAACACCTACTCTTCTAGTCCATGCATAATTATTGGTGTGAATAGCATTGAAAAGGTGTTGTTATTGTTTCTCAGTCTGAATTTGCTCAGTCTGGAGAGAAAAAAGCTGAGGGTGGACTGGAGCGAGAGCTTCAAGTCAAATACCAAAATAGATATATAAACTGTTCGAGGAATACAAAACACACACTGACTTTCGTCTGGTAACTGCTTTTTAAAGTTCTCCTTACACGGGCAAAAGGCGTTTCGTTTTATAACACCTTGAGCGGCAAATTTAGCGGCAACCTTTGAATGGTTTTCCTTTTTATCAACTATGCAGGTTATTGGTAACAATACTACAAATATTGCTCTATTTTCTCACTGAGTAATCTAATGCACAGACAAAGGTGATCTTTATATTGGGATACAGTATACAATAAAGCTGGAACAAAACGATACACCTCATGGTTTTGCACAACAAAGAACAAGGCATTTTACGCTATCACGCTTTCAAATGTTTAATACTTAAAATGTGATGAAGGGTACCTATACGACTGATATTGTCAGGTTCACAGCACAGAAAAGCTGCTTTTTGTTGTTGTTCAAATATTGATCTCCTTCCCGTTGATACTGATCTATGGCAATTTTTAAGTTTAGGGTTTAAATGCAACGATGACCGTGATGACCGAAACAGAGTGGTGGACAGCTGTTTTGGCTGTTTCGGGGACGCGTCAAAAGTGCAGCTAACTGGTTTCGCATTCGCGCGCTCTCGAGGAGTAAGAGCTATTCCCTAAAATCCAAGTCCAAGGCGCTTATGAACAGCCAAATGAGCCCATCCAAATATAACATTCTAACTTAGGGTAAAACGTTTGTCATTATGGTTTTTTAAGTTTTCATCAGACCACACACAAAAAATTGTTTTCAATGAATCGCCTACAGATCAAATAAGCAAATTATACATGCAGGATTTGGTCTTTCAGTCGATCAATTTTTACGTTTGCACACAATAACCACCGCGGACTCAATCGGTGTTCTTTTAGTTATAGGTAAGCTGTGTGAGTAAAAAAACAGTCAGTTTGTAAAAGTTTCAAACCAGGTCATAATCCTCAAGGGCAGTGCTCAGATGAGCGAGGATCGATACTCACAACAAGCTCCCAAAGATGGGTTGTGCTGTACCTCCTTGTATATTCAAAATGAGAAACGTTCTGATCAGCTTCCTGCTGGCCGAGTGGGAAGTATGCTTGCGTTCTAACTGCGAGGTACCGGGTTCGATCCCCAGTTAAAACGATGGATTCGCGCACGGCGGATGAGACCCAATCAGGTAGAAACAGCGGTGCACTGCTTCTCAGCTTTCTAAATCACGCCTCATTTACACGGCGAATTCATTATATAAAACAGTTTCATTACTCTCATACAACAAAAGAAATTAGCACCTGCCAATCATCCATCATGACCGTTCACCAATCTGGTGTTGTGATCTATAGAGATGCGAAACGCGGTGCACCACCACCCTTCAATCCACCTGCCGTATCCTGTACCGCACAACCAGAAGCTAAAACCTCTGATTGGCCCAAGTTCGAGGATTCATCACCCGATCTGGACAGCCTAGTGAATGAATCATGGGGAAAATTGTACACCCCTGAGTAGCTCTAGTCATATTCCTAACTTCATCGTGAATTCAATTTTTAGTTGAATGATTGCAATCAGGATTATTTCTGCATTAGCACCGTTATGGGACTGCAATATAATAAAACCGACACATTCCTGATATCCGAGATTTTATTTCAGTGTTAGAACCTTTATTTTAATCTTTTTCCCGTAAATCTATTTCGGCAACCAAATACGTTATGCTAGTTTATAAATGATGCAATTCAAATTTCTTCCCGAACTGTACAAGCAAGTTCTTTCACGAGTAACAGAATAATTGTGAGCAATCAGACCGACTCACAGTTTCTTCAAAGTCGATATTGGTTCTCACTGACCGACCATTGAGTTTCTGTACCGGCCGGAAGTTGTTCGCCATTGTCCCCGATTCTTTTACCGGTCCGATGCGAAGTTCACGCAATGCTTGGAGCTTCGGGAAGAAAAAATAGCACATCAATGCATTTGTCAAACTCTGTGCGTGTGTGTGCGCGCGCTAATATTGAGCAATATATATAAATATATTTCATGTGACGAGAAGAACTGAGTAGATCCTCAGTTATGGTTATGTTTGCTTCATTTTTCTGCTGTTGTTGTTGTTGCCCAAGGTGTATTCCGGAAATGTGAGTCAAACGAGCAATTTGTTTCTACATGATGTTCAAATTTCGATCAATTTCCGGGATGTGGTTCGGTAATCTTGAACATTTTATGCGGATCTCAAACACAAAGTGGTTTAGCTCATTGGCACGTTTTGAACTATCTTGTGCTGACATGCCAAATCGGATGCCGGAACGATGCAGAACGTCATCTACACACTTTTCTCATTTTCATTCTTCATTTTCACCAAGTAGAAAAACTCCATTCATCCATTATTTTCTCCACAATAAACTGGTCATACTACTTTCACACTCGAGCGGTCATGTGTTTAAGCTATTAGTGTTTAACTAATATGTGCGTATGTCAATGGTAGTTTTCTTGAGCCATTGTTCAAGGGCAAATGGGTGAGAATATGCATTAGGGTAGCCAAACAAAAGTTCTGTAAAAAAAACATTTGAAGCTTATTTCAGGCTTATTTGTCTCATTACTCAAGTAAACTAAGCGAAATGTTCCAAATACGTTCATCTAATCCGGACTTTAAAGCTGCCGACTTCACTTGGTTTCAATTAGTCAAAACTTCTCATAGACAATGTAGAAATTTCTTTTTAATATTGACTTGCGATGTTTGATCTTTGTCCTCTTGCCTTCTCCAAAACTCAAGGAATGAATACCGCTAGCATTGTCACATTCGCTTGTCTCATTTTTCCACCTCTGGGATCGCTATAATTTGAGCTATAATCAGATCTAAGTACCATGATCGCCTCATACATGTCACCTTCTGATGCGATACATCGAATTTCCTTTTATCTTTTTCGTGTTTATATATGCAGTCCTCTTTCTCAAAATACTTATAATAATGACAACAATAAAAATTCGTTAAATTTAGTCTAGTTAGCTCAAAAAAGTATTTGGTTTGAGGACTTTTAAAGAACTAGTCTGAATCAAAGTGACTAGTTTTTTAGTTGAATTATGTCTATTCTATTGACAAGCTAGCAAATTCACGCTATTCGCTTCATGGCTGTCTTCTCCATATCACCAGTATAACCTACAAGGAAACTAACAAATTAATGAGTACTCTATAACCATTGGGATTTATTTGTTATGGCTTACCCGAGTCAGAGGGTGCGGTAACCATAAGAGAAACAAAATGAGTTTACCGCAAACCACGGATGTATCTAAATTAGAAGACACTAATCATCGGCCACTCATGACCCCATTAATTCTCTTCTCCACACTTTAAACAACTTTGTTGTAAAAAGGAGCGCCCTTTTCAAATCCACCATGGGTGAGTTTCACAAGCCCCATTGTATGTACACTCATGTTCCACTGGACAGCAAAAGCATCTGTAGGACCTCACAAACACTCATGCGGATTTCTAACATCCAATCCTAAGACGGCTCATCTCCTGTGGATATAGAGGGATTGAATCAGCTTGATTAAAACAGAACCTGCTTCATTCATTTCAGCGGAATAAACACGGTCGGTCAGTTTGCCATGTTGGCTCCTGCATACATTCATTATGAATGGACCTATCTCAACCTAAACTAACATGAAGCCCTGACCTAAGGAAATGTGTGGCCTTTCTTCCCCCTGCACAGTCTGAACACTTCAATCATTCTTTGGTGTAGAAAGTTCTTACTAAATGTTGGAAAATAGTCTTCGTCTATCCAGAACTGAAGAAAGGCTCCTCAGATTTCTGGTTCATTGTAATTATCTCTATTTTTCAGGAGCTCAGGAGACTCTTGCTTAAGACTATGTCTACCCAAATGAATTTGGAGGCCGCAAATACGTTTTCTATACTAATTCCTGAAGTATCTTGTTTAGGTATCCCCTGCTTCGCTCTCCCACTTTGTTTTGTCCCCTCTTGATGGGAAGAGCAAGGCTATCAGTGCGAGTTTCGTGGACTATAGTGATATCTTCAATATGACCGACCGGTCAATTTAGCTGAATACCCTTCTATCTGACGGCATTCAATCTCCTGTGACTTAACTAATACCCCATTATATTTCTATTGGTTGGCGTTTAATACAGTACCAGGACCTTCAGTGTTTCCTAAAGCCTTCCACAAAAGGAGTACTACAAAGTGACACTTTTCTACATTCATACGTTTTTCTTGCATTTCCTCCAAGCCTGTGAGAACAGGTTGGCTTCTTAATAATTAAATGGATGACGAAGTATTTGACTAATACATTGCAACCCATCATCTTAGACCATTACGCAAGCTGGTGTGATAGAAACCGAGCATTGATCTCTACAACGGAACCCCTAATTTTTTCCACAAAAAATGTTTTCATACCAGTTTCTCATTTTCCGGATGGGGGATAAGTAGGCTTAGATTTTGAATACCTCCCTGTTTATCTATCTTGAATGATTACACTGATCGACATCCGTCTCTCAGATATCTTAGAGCAATTCTCAATCATAACTTCATCTGGTCTGCTCACAGCATCACTGTGCTCCAGTTGAGCGCTTAACCGGATTCAGTATGTCTAACGAAATCCTAGGCCTCGTTTACCGTAGCTAGCTTAGTCTTAGCTATTAAAACGTTTCTTGACGAAAAGCAATGGACTTCCTGTGAGATGTTATTGTACAAAATGACCTTTGAATTCACTTCAGAATGAAGGTTTTGTAAAAGTTCTTATTTCTATAAACCGATGAGAACATTCGTTTCGTTTTCCAAGGAAATATGACGGAGCTGTCATGGCATCTCCGTAAGTCTTATTTGGACTTAAATTGTCATGGATCACATAATTGGGAGAACTTAGATCTTTGAAAGATGTGTTGACGGGACGTATACATTATTGCGGATCAGATCAGAGATACTACAAACCCTACATAGAGGAATCCAATCAAGTTCACTCATATGTACAAATCGCTTGGGAAGTCGAAGAGACGAAGCACATTGGCTTTCGCCCATGTTATTCCGGCCCAACTTCGGTTAACTGATACGCGCCTTGCAAGCAGATGTGTTTTGGGAAGCTTTTCATCCATTCAGCACAGAAATGCACTTATTAGGACTCCTTTGTCCAAGGCCAAGTAAATCGGCCCCTTGATATCAGTGTGTTAGAAGAAAAGTTGCCACTATTTTCCACTCTACACTGGTACAACAGTCCGGAGTCATCTATTCGTTTTTCTAGTCAGATAAAAGTAAAAGCCCTCTGCTGACGCTATCGTATACACTTTTTCGTATCATATAAGTGCAATCAATTTATGCAACCCACTTAACAGCTCATTACAAGCGCTCCCCGAAGGACTTTCTATGTCGCCCCTCAGCACAACACATCGCCTTCTCGTGGATCGCCTTGCGATTGGTCTAATCGCTCTCGGTCTCGATATATTTCCTGGCCGTGTCAAGAAAGCCGTCATTGGTGGAACTGACAACATCTCGGGTACAAGAATGCTCGAGCGGACATCTCGAAATATTTACTAACAGGAATAGATCAGTCTAACCGGCAGAGTGTAAAGTTAACCAAAGTTGTTGAATATCATCGATCGCTGACCACTTTTTTCGAGAGCGGTCACTAGGCCAAATCTGACCTTCCAAATCCCCTACGTTCGTTGAGGATATTATAGTCTGGCCCGGTGTTCAACAAAAGAAGCTGCACAATGATTCATTATCTAACTTGGATTTGAAAGTTGCTTCCAATTTCGTTTTCGTTGAGTAAATTATCTCACGATTGCTTGTAACAGTTTTTGTTGTCATCTGCTATCCGGATGTATGTACGTATGAGACCAATGATTGTGTACGACATGATTTCCTCTCACAGCAAGTATCTTGTATCACGTCAGTTTACATATTTATACATATATATGCATTAAAATAAGTAGTATATGAATCACTGGACAAAATTTCTCTTGAAGAACACGACTGGTCTCAGAGTTCTTACCGCTCTTCAGACATGTGAATCTGGTAGTCTTTTGTCTTGTGATGCATATATTTGTACCCACGAAGCGTATTTTTGTCACAATAACTTTGTTTGCAACACCGGGTGACTATTGGATAGACAGTCCATTGAAGAATCATTGTATAATTAGATGTTTTATAGGTGAGTTAGATGCTACTAACCGCAACAAATGTGACTTGATCGTCTTTAGAAAATATTTCATAATAAGTAGTATTTGAACAACTGGACATATATATATATATATATATATATATATATGAATTACATGACTGTAACAACGTTACTATGCACGACTCACTTTCACTTGCATAGATGAGGTGCAAATCATTTCTCGGCTGGTTTCAACCTCCACATGCTCTCGACGAATGATGAATCTGATAAGCCTAGTAGTGTTAGTATTGTATATTCTTTCAGTTTTTAAATGGGGCACCAGTATTATCTTATTCAGTCCTATTTTATTCTTTGGTAGAATTAGCATACTGCTGTTGATGGCTGCGATGAATGTAATCGTAAGGCATAAATTTTCATTCGGTGTTTGAAACAACTTTGTAAATTCATTTACAGGTGTAGCCCACACCTTTGTCCTAAGCAAAAACCAAGTTCATTTTGGTTCTTTAATCCTAGTGCAAGTCGATACTTTTGTATTATTATGTGATCCATACTGTCACGTTCTCAAAACACGTTCGACTTACCTGTTCTCTCGGTATGCAACGTTTAGGGGTGAGGGTACCAGCAAACGAATTGTTTCGTATCCTTATTGACGAATTTCTTGCCTTAGCCATGTTCAGTATCAGTATTTTTCACCATTCACTAAACATATTAACAACAGAGTCCCGGGCCTAGTATTCCGGTTATTGTTTTGAGTCGTGAAAACGGATTAACTTTGTCCACGACTGAAACTCATAAGCATGTTACATTTGTGTAATTCACAATTGCGGTATCCATTTTCTCGTGGTGCGATCCCAGAGGAATCATCACCCAAATTAAACGAGGGTTCAGGTGGAATGGCCTATTTGTTTGAATGATTTTTTTAATTTAATGGTGGATCTGTGAAAGCATAACCCAAGTCGCCCTGGGTGAGACCAAAATTGGATAGGTGCTCAACGAAATGGTTACTACGCAAAAGTTCGTCGTCTTTTTGTATTTGCCAAAGTCATGTGAAGTCAAATCGGCATAAGTATATGTCCAAGAGCCTAGCTGTTTTTTTCAGCCACTGAACTGTCAAAGGGTTTGATGAAATGAATGCTGATGAGAAGCATCGCAACGCGTTCCCTGAAATCAAACCGTTTTGAGGTTAGATTCAGTGATTAAACCGTGACTTGATAGTCTTAATAGAATATTTCATAATAAGTAGTATGTGAATGACTGGACAAAATTTCCCTGGAAGCACACGACCGGTTTCGCGGTTCTTGCCGCTCGTCAGGCATGCATTTCCGGTGATCTTTTGTCAGTTCATTCATA